TGGGGGTGCGGGGGTGGATGTGAGACTTTCCCACCGAACACCATGGATTACGTAGGAGGATGATTAAGTTGCTCTCCCAAACACCCCTTCAATAGCTCGTTGAAGGTTTTCTCTTGGTTTAGAAGACAGTCGTAGCTCATGTGGTGGTCTTCACTGTCCCTCTTCAGCCCCCCAACAATTCTCTTTAAGAGAAGAGGGCTTGTCTCCGGCAGCAGCAGGCCAGAGGTACAGGGCAGGGAACATCTGATCCCTAACCCTGACCCGACCTGAGCGGAGCCACCTTCCAGAGACCAGTCTGAGGGACAATGGGGTCTGAGGACAGCATTTACCTTCTTGTAGGGTTCCCTTCTGCCTCACAAAAACTCACACACACCCCAGGGAAACGCCGCCCGGCCCCACACCACCCCCACAGTAGCAGGGGAGCAGACTGCTGTGATTTTGGAAGTTGTTGGCCAGGCCTTTCTTCATAGTGTCTGTGAGTCGGAAGTTCTGCTGAAACCTGTTCAATATCACAGCAACACACAAGCCTTCACGGACCAACAGGTGGTACAAGGTGCCCTGGCCTGGAATGGAACCCTGGTCTCTAAACGGAAGATGAAGGTGCCACCCCTGAACTCCCACAGACTCATCTAAGATTGCTTCTGAGACCAAATGCCAGAGTTCTGCGGGTTCCTCGGGTTCAGTTCTGCCCTTAAGGCACCTTGGGAGTCACCTGGATGGACAAACATCTCTGGAGCAGCCTGCACCCGGGAGGGGGCTCCGTGTGGGGAGCCCAGCCCAGACACCCTCCCCAGTTCCTGACTGCGTGGCTGATGCACGCGGTGATGCACGCGGGGGGCGGGAGGGCGACAAGCTCTTACCTTGGAGGTACATCTCCTCGCTCTCCACAAACATCTGGCCGCACCGGACACAGAGCGCACATGCAGGGTGGAAGTGCTTCTCTCCAGCCTGCGGGGAGGAACACATCTGCCTCAGAGACCCCAGCAGCCTTGGGATGCCATGCACAAGCACCCACGGGGGGATTCGAGGACCATGAGGGGGCCTGCAGACATGGGGCTCGGACCAGATCACGGACAGCTGCACAGAGCCTGGTGCATGGGGCCTCACGGCCAGTCGGAGGCTGTACCTGAAATCAGGGCTCGCATCCCCTATCCCTGCCCACAGCACTGTCCAAGCCCCAGCAGGCCTCAAGTCAGAGGACCCGGGGGTTCCCCACTAGTCAGCTAATGTACCCATGGAGGGGTGAAAGGAGAAAGGGAGAGAGGAGGGAAAAGGTGAGGAGGAAAGAGCAGCAGGGGAGGGAAAGATGGGAGAGAAAGAAGAGGGGCAGGGAGAAAGACGGTGGTCTCTCTGTCTGCATTCTCCCAGGCACAGATCCAACACTTCTGCAAAGCACTTACTTGGGGGGTGGGGGGCAGTTTCAGGAAGCCCTGCAGGGGTGTGAGGAGGCAGGGAGACCAGGAAGAGCACATGGCCACCAAGCAGTAACCACGGTGGATGCTCGGGGAGGGGGCTAAGGGAGGGGTCTTGACCTGAGGGTGGGGCTGCACCAGCTGCTAAAGCAAAAGGTGTTGGCCCACCTCGGAGACACTGAGGGTTCGGTTCCAGACCACCAAAATCAAACGGAGATCACCAGAAAGCGGGTCACACACATTCTGGGGTTTTCAATGTGTTATTGTTGTTGTTAAGTGCCGTCAAGTCGGTTCCGACCCATAGCGACCTTGAACAGGGTTTCCGAGGCTGTAAATCTTTACAGGAGCAGAAAGCCTCATCTTTCTCCCATGGAGCAGCTGGTAGTTTCGAACTGCTGACCTTGAGGTTCGCAGCCTGATTCGTAACCACTACGCTACCAGAGCTCCAGTGTGTAGAAAGTGGCAAATCCTACCTTCACCTATGACCTGTGCAATAGAATGAACTTGACTAGAGGAAGATAACAAAAAATAAAAAAAACAATATTTGATAAAGGAAATAAGGGCAAATTGCTATAATTTGATTCACTTGAGCTCTGGTAGCAAAGTGGATACAAGGCGGGCTGCTAATCTCACGGTCAGCAGTTTGAAACTACCAGTTGTTCCATGGGAGAAAGATAAGGCTTTCTGCTCCTATAAAGATTTACAGCCTTGGAAACCCTATGTAGGGTCACTATGAGTCAGAACCGACTCCACGGCAGACCACCACCACCACCACTGTACTCATGGATGTGGTAACTCTAAATACCAACAGAGAGGGAAGGAGTCTTCACATCAAGTATCAATGCTATCCCTTGTGTACACAGGGTAGATAGGGACGGGCAACTTAGACATTGGCTACCTAAAATGAGGGGGCAATAAAGGCACGAAGTGACTGGCTTACAAGGTTTCAAAGGGGAGTTTAGTTTAAGAGTATGGGGGGAAGGAAGAGTCCCCACTGAATAGTTTTCATATTGTCTAGATGGGTCTGGTTAAAAGAGATGGGGATAACATTCTTACGATTCAATAGTGATTGAATTGTTATCATGACTAATTGCGACTCTCACAATTGTAAAGGTAGAAGTTTTTTTGTTTTTTTTTTTTAACAAAAACAAGGGAGTAGTTTATTTTACAGTCCAGAAACAGAGGACCCTAGGATCATCAAGGGAGAAAAGCACAAGCGGAACACGAGACCTTATCCAGAGATGGAGGCAGAGATGGGGACATGGAGAGAGGGAGCAGCTGAGGACTCTAGATTCATGGGAAGAGAGGGACTGAGAGCTGGTGGCCAGGAGGCAGACTTGCAGAATGTGCCCTTTGGTGCTTTAAATTATTATACATACCTGAGTGTTTAAAAAAAGGAGCTAAAGTGAATATAGAGAAATACTATTAACTGATAGTCCATGGAGGGGATTATAATCATTGTAATGAAATAAGGTGTATGATTTGTTGAATATAAAGTTGATGATCTGCCCTGTAAACTTTCACTTAATTCACAATAAAAGCTTAAAAAAAAAAAACCCAAAACATCACAAAAGTGTGGAATCTTATGACAATGACCAACATGGGACAGAGGGGCTAGCTCATGCCCCAGCTCCACATCCGCCTCAGGGTCAGTTCCTCTGTAAGTCTTTCCACTCATCCCAAACTCCTCCTCCTCCAGGCAGCCCTCCCTGGTGCTCTCCCAGCCTGGCTTCTGGCAGCACCACTGGTACACCCTGCCCATTAGCCACGGCACAGCATCCTCCCTAAAAGGACTGAGTGTAAGACTGCTATTCCCCCACACTCAGGCCAACATGACTGAGTCAGAGAGGACGATCCATGGAGGAGTGACCAGACAGGGGGCCTGGGGGCTGGGCATGCCTGTCCCTGGGTCAGGAGGCTGGACAAGGAGAGCATCGTGGTAGATGCTTGTGTCTTTGTGTGCTGTGTGCGTGTCACATGTTAAAAAAAATTTCCCCCACAAAATGGATCAGTGAATACAAGCTCAAGTCATCAAGCTATTGGGTTATAATAAACCTTCCAATGTGTCATCAGATCCTTAGCTCATACGCCAAGTGCACAAGTGACAGAGAAAATAAACCATATGTCATCAAAACTGTAAACATTCCGCACATGCAAGGCTGTCAACCAGAAAGTGAACAGGCACCTAAAGACACCTAACGAACAGGAGAAACGCCCTGCAGATTGTACACTGATAAGGGCTTAGTATCCAAAAGAGAGAAAGAGCTGGAACAATCAACAGCAAAAGCAAACAGCCCAAGTTTAAATGGGCAAAGGACTTGAATAATCATTTCCCCAAAGAAGACAGGCGAGTGCAAATGGCCAAGAAAAACATCTAAAGTTCTCAGCATCATTGTTTTTGTTGTTAAATGCCATTGAGTCGGTTCCGACTCAGAACCATCCAGCATCCAGTATAGGGTTTCCAAGGAGTGGCTGGTGAGTTGAACCGCCAACCTCGTGGCTCAAATGACCTTACAAGACCCAGTGCTTTATCCCACAGCACCACACCAGGACTCCTCAACATCACTGGTCAGTCCAACTCCCCTACCATCAAGTCCACTCTGGCTCTCAGAACTGCCCATCAGGGTTTCTGAGACTACAAACCTTTACCGGAGCACACAGCCTCAACTTTTCCCTTGGAGCGACTGACGGGTTTGAACAGCTGACCTTTCAGTTAGCAGCCCAGCACTTAACCCACAGTGCCACCAGGGCTCCTTGCCTCCACCCCAGACCCACTGACTTGAACTCTGGAGATCTGGAGGTGGGGCTCCAAAGAAAAGAGATAAATAAAGCAGGTACCCATGAAGCCTCCACTTAGAACTTGGACTCAAGTCAGGGTTGGGGGGTTGTAAGCAAGTGTCTACCTGAGAGCACCCCCAGTCTGTCAGTGTGTGGTATTGCAGGTGCACACATGCATGTGCCAACCACATTTCAAGTACTACCGGGGTGGCCCACGGTGGACGGGTTTCAGCAGAGTCAGACTAAGAGAGATGAGGAAGAAAGGCCTGGCTGTCTACTTCTGAAATCAGCCAGTGAGAACCAGTGGATCAGCACAGAATGTTGTGTGGCGGACGCTGGGAGATAAGCCCCAAGGTGGGAAGACCCCTTCATCACACACGGCCGCAGCCATGCACACAGATGGACAGCGAGGATGGTGCGGGAGTGGGCAAAGTCTGGTTCTGTTGGCTCCAGCAGCCACCTCAGACATGCAGACAGGGACCAGCGAGACAGGCTAAAGAACAGTCACCAGCCTCCTGGAACCCCCCCCCCCAATTCCATCCTCAGTAGCTGTCAAAGGGGAGACAAATCCAGCAGCACCCATCCGTCCCAGGAACTGACCTCATCCATTCCTTGATGACTTGGCCACCCCCGCCTGCTCAGGAAGAAGCCCCTTTGCCCTCAAAGGACCCCAGGAATGCTGAGTGGGCAGGGCAGGACCCAGATCCCTGACTGGCTGCTAGCCCACTTCAGCCAGCTCCATTCGGACTTCCAACTGCCTGTCCAGGTGACCAGAATGGAAGGACGGGACACCAGGGTCTGGAGAGGTTGAATCACTGGAGGAGGTCCCTAGTGGGTGGTTAGCAGTGCAAATCTACCTAGCGGTGCAGCAGCAGAAAGATCTGGGGATCTGCTCGGAAGCACAAGGGGTCACCATGAGTTGGAACCAACTACACTGCAGGAAGTCTATTTCTGTTTGTTTATTTTATATGGAACGACCCTGCGGACCAGTTGCCACCCTCCAATACCCCCAGGGCTGCTTCACCCTGAAAATGAGCCTCCCTGGGCCTTGCATAGCCCTGTGCCTCTGCGTCCATCCCTGACCTCTAGCCCCGCCACCCAGCCAGGGCTTGAAGCTGAGCTCTCCCCAGGGACTCTCCCACCCACTGGTCCCTCAGTCAACAATACTCCTTCGCCCAACCGAGTCACATCTAGGACCCGACTCTCTCCTTCCTCCAAGGTTCACCAGGAGCCAACCTCACCCGACTGCAGGTGATCCTGTGCTCAGCAGACCTGAGCCATCCCCAAGATTTCACAAAATAATCTAAGAAATACCACATTTAAGCAATTAAAAACTCAATCACATATTGTTTTATGATTAAAATTTTTAATAAATACTTAGGACTGAAGAATTAATGCCTTTGAATGATGGTATTTTCAAAGAATATTCAATGAATCATGGACTGCTAGAGAAACCTACCACACGGTTGTCAGGTTGTCAGTGTGTCATACTGGGGCGGCTTGTGTGTTGCTGGAAGCTATTATACCACTGCTACCTTACACACCAGTAGGGTTACCCGTGGTGGACAGGTTTCAGTAAGATTGCAGACCAAGGCAGACGAGGAAGAAGGAGAGTTGGACTCGTTCTGAATGGTTAGCTACTAAAAACCTTATGAATAAGGAGCAGAACGTTGTTAGATATCGTGCAAGAAGATGCGCCCCTCACGTTGGAAGTCACTCAAAATATGACTGGGCAGAGCTGCCTCTTCAAAGTCCAGT